ACTCCTACAGGCTCCTGTGGAACTGAAAAGTCAAAAAGCTTGTGCTTCACATCACAGGGGCTTAACACATCCCTTTGTGGCAAGAACACCAATACATTTCTGTGGAGGAAAACAGGCAGCCTGGAGTTAGTGTTTAATAAACTTTCAGACTCTGACACCAAGGCCCAGTCCTTGCTAACCTGACTTCATCCTTTTTTTCTGAGTCCAGCTCTGGTGGTGGTTGCAGGCAGATAGACCCATCATCTTACTCACATAATTGAAACAGAAAAAGCTCTGCAAAGGTGCTGTCCAGTAAACAACTGGGGCCACACTGCTCTGGTTCAGAAGTATGAAGAAAAGAAACATGCAGGGATAAATCTCTGTTTTCAAAATGTAGGTTGAATCTTGAAACTTGATCTCATCCTCACTTGAGCTAACATTCCTGAAGGTAGAGTTCTTTTAAAAGGGAAGAAGTTGTTTTAACTAGCGTTATGTTAGCACAGGACCACAACAAACCACCAATGTTCTGCTTTGGGCCTGCATTATGTAACAAGTTGAGAACTTGTCCTTACCTGGCAGGCAGGTAATACTTTCATAATCTTATTGAAGTGTCTCCCTTCTGACTGAAGAGTTGCTTGTGATGGCAAGGGTTGGTCCATCTCAACCAACTAAAGGCTGAGTGTGATTCATCAACTTATTCTAAATAAGTGCTTTAAGATGAGATGAATCCAGTCTACTGATTAGAGTAATTAAAGTTCACTGAGTAGAAAGGAGTTTAAAGGGGCTAGCTCAGATGTAGCTGTTTATATTTTGCCAGATTAATCTCATTCTTAGTGGCCCAGAGCCTTTTAACTTGTAGACTAAATACAGTTTTCAGGGACACTATTACAATATTACGTGGTCTCATCAGTGCTCCTTAGAGAAGAATTTGGTCTCCTGAACCAATAAGTAAGGCTTGTTCTTGTCTCTTTTTGATGCTGGGAATGTTAACGACGCATATTCTATTTGTTTGGTTCCCTGAGGAGTAATTATAAAAACATTTTTAAAACCACTATTTCTATAGGCAGCTGTAGACACATCTAGTCACCTTTTAAAACACACATTTCTGTGAAAAGTAGGCAGCTCAGTAGATATTTACATGTTTGCTGTACCTATTATTGGAGCCAGTCTCTGACATACATGAAATAACATTGGGATATTTTTTAATTCAGCAACGAGCATACACAAAGGTTTAAAAAATTCCTCCGAATGGTCACTTCTGTATTAAACCTAAAAGTTTATGAAGAACTGTTAAATCTGATATAAAGCACCTGCTAATGTGAGTTAGGTCACACCAGGTCACAGAAGCTGGTTCTGCTCTTCTTAGGCTGTTAGGTATGAAGTGTCAGAAAGAAATTGGACATTTGACTTAGCATTGTGACTCTGGCTGCTCTCCATGGCTGACTGGGGTCCTCCAAAACTCCACCTTATCCTGCCTGCCACACACAGCCTCTCCCAAATCCTCTGTACAGGCATCTCAAGGCCTCCTTTCTCCTCTCCATACCAGGTTCTTTCTTGCCCACAGGAAGGGGCAGTGTAGGAAGCTCTTGTTCACCTTCCCAGTGTGACCCAAGGTTTGGTGAGATGAGCTTTACTGCAGGTGTGGGTTCATGCTATGAATAGAAAAAAGCTGTACTTTGCTGTTATAGGAACAAACAAGAGCACCAAAAGTGTCAGTGTACAGGTCTGAGGGTAACTCACTAGAAAAGGAAAGACTTAGTGTCTGCATTACTGATGGAAAAGTAAAACATCTTAACCTCTCCACCACAGAGATACAGATAGTCCAGTGTGGTGTTTCATCCTGCCCTGGGAGTGACATGGGGTATAAATCCTATTTTTTTCTTGGAAGTTTTTAAAGGTAGCTGATGGGTAAACAATCACTTCTTTTGTTCCAAAGCAAGAACAGCAGCCCCAAACTGTCACTTAGTCCTCACTCCAAAAGACCAGGGTTAGACCGCTCAAATATCCTGCAATCAGACATATATCTTGTGAGCTCAAAGCCCAGAGAGCACAGTTGTGTTGAGCAGGCCATGACAGAGTGTAGGCACTTCTACAGGAAATCAACCATAGTGCAACATATCTGCCTGCACACATAGCTGTGGGCATGATCACACATGACAACAGCAAGAATTTGCATATATTTTATTGCTGTTGCTATAGCTCATCAAATACTTGAACACATGGGGTTGTACAAGGTATGAAATGTAGTCATCTACAAAGTCCACAGGAAACCAACACAGCAGCAACCATGACTGCCTGTAAGGCAAGATTTACGTTATTTCATGTGTTTACCAGGGAACTGAAATGTTCTGAAAAAAGACAGGGAACTGAGTTACAGACAGGTTACTGAGTTATCTGGCTTACAGATAGAGCTCAGCTGGCTTACAGATAGAGCTCAGAGGGTTGTGGTTAGTGGTGCAGAGTCTAGTTGGAGGTTAGTAACAAGTGGTGTCCCTCAGGGGTCAGTACTGGGCCCAGTTTTGTTCAACATATTCATCAATGATCTGGATGAAGGGATAGAGTGTACCATCAGCAAGTTTGCTGATGACACAAAACTGGGAGGAGTGGCTGACACGCCAGAAGGCTGTGCTGCCTTACAGCGTGACCTCGCCAGGCTGGAGAGTTGGGCAGAAAGAAACCTTATGAAGTTCAACAAGGGTAAGTGTAGGGTAGTGCACCTGGGGAGGAATAACCCCATGCACCAGTACAGGTTGGGGGCTGACGTCCTGGAGAGCAGCTCTGTGGAGAGGGACCTGGGAGTCCTGGTGGACAACAGGATGACCATGAGCCAGCAATGTGCCCTGGCGGCCAAGAAGGCGAATGGCATCCTGGGGTGCATCAAGAAGAGTGTGGCCAGCAGGTCGAGGGAGGTCATCCTCCCCCTCTACTCTGCCCTGGTGAGACCGCATCGGGAGTACTGTGTCCAGTTCTGGGCTCCCCAGTTCAAGAAAGACAGGGAACTGCTGGAGAGGGTCCAGCAAAGGGCAACGAAGATGATTAGGGGACTGGAGCACCTTTCTTATGAGGAAAGGCTGAGGGACTTGGGTCTCTTTAGTCTAGAGAAAAGAAGATTGAGGGGGGATCTTATTAATACATACAAATACTTAATGGGAGGATGCCAGGGGGATGGGAGCAGTCTTTTTTCAGTGGCGCCCAGTGATAGGACGAGGGGTAATGGGCATAAACTTGAACATAGGAAGTTCCATCTTAACATGAGAAGGAACTTCTTTACTTTGAGGGTAGTGGAGCACTGGCACAGGCTGCCCAGAGAGGTGGTGGAGTCTCCCACTCTGGAGACATTCAAAACCCGCCTGGACGCTGTCCTGTGCAACGTGCTGTAGGTGACCCTGCTTTGGCAGGGGGGTTGGACTAGATGATCTCCAAAGGTCTCTTCCAACCCTAACCATTCTGTGAATTCTGTGAATTCTGTGAATTCTGTGAGTTTGCAAATAATAGATTTCTAGGCCTTCAGTGGTGGTCTCTCTACTCAAACTGAAGCTGAAGAACTGCACACAGAGTGAAAACAGAGAGAGACATCAAGAGGGAAAGAAGGCAGGGACATTTCTTTTCTATCTTCTCTGAGACATGTCCACTTTCAAGGCTATGTGTGGACAAGCAGTAGAAGGAGGTCACTCTGCAAGAGGATCCAACCTCACGCCAGTTATGGTATGGGAGAACATGCACTTTGAACAGTCCTTGGGGTGCTAGTATGCCTACCCTTTCGCACTTCCTTCAGGATTTCTATGCTGTACTATCATTGCCATACTCTGCAGCTAGGCTAATCATTTTAAGGTAAGCGTTATCTTGCCCTGACCCTCTGCTTTCAGGCTCCAGTTAAGGCTACAATCACAATATTCTTCTAAAGTTGAAGGGGAATTGCAGGAGCCAAGACTCCTCCAAGTGGTACTTGTCCTGTCTTGCACTCATGCCTGACACTGTTCCCATCACAGTGATACGGTGTTGACCGTAAATGACATGTCACCTGTCCTGCCTGCCTTGGCATTGAGTGGGCACAAGAAGGGAGAAGAAAATGCACCTGTGTTTTTGCAGACTGCTTGCAGCTGCACCTGTCCTAAATGTAGTGGTCCCCAGACTAACGCGCTTTCCTTTAGCATCGTCCCTCATACCTGCATAAACACAATCCATACAGACACTCTGCCCAAACCACACATAAAGATTGCCATACATTCCTGTAGTTAAACACCACAGTCACATTCTTGCCTATATACTGAGACAGTCACAAACCTGAGTCCAGCTGGAATATACCAGTATATGTTCATCTGGCCTTGCTCACAAGAGTAAGCTTCAGCTTCTATACTTAAGTGCTACAATATCCTTTGTGTGACCACCACTTCAGCAGAAATCCATGGAGCCAAGACATAACCACATTGCTGTCTGCTCTTTCCACAGCTTTCTTGTTGTGACCCAGGGAATAAATGGACCCTCACTTCCCAGGTATCACAAGCAGGGCCTGGTATCAGGCTGGTGCCATTTTCTAGCACATAATGCTTTTGGCAAACCCAGATGAGGAATCTTATTCATGGTAGATGGGCTCCTGAAGAGCCCTGGAAAACCCTTTGATCTGAAGAAAAGACGTTTTCTGAAAGACACAGGAAATTCTCGGCCTTTTGATGATACCAGTCCTTCACCACAGTGGTCATCAAATAGACCATTTAAGTGTGGAGACTTAAGTGCTTGGCTTTTTTTTTATGGCATCCAAACACCATCCATCCAGTACATTCCCATCTCCTTTTTATGCAGGCATCCCCAGTTAGTAGCTGGCCTGTTGTGCGCTGGCAGGGACTGCAAGCCATTAAAGACATTTTAGAAGAGGGACATGACATATTTTTTGGGCAAAGGAACCATTTGCCACCATCTTTCCCCTTTAAATGGTAGCCATAAAGCCACACGGACAGGAGAGTCTGGTAAGACACAGATTTGGAGCCACCTCCCAGACGTGGTCAGAAAAGTAGAGGGGACATTTAGCTATAGAATACAGGTTTACGAAGTACACGCACCACATTGTAAGTGTTCAGTCCTGGTGCATCAAAGCCAGGAGACAAACCCTTGCGATCGAATGGATAAAAGTTGAAAAGCTGCCCATTTTGGGTCTCCAGTGAGATGGAGGCAGAGCCCAGGTGAAGAATACATGGGAACTCCTTGTCAAAAACAACTTGGAAGATGCGATCTTCCAGGTGGTGGAGCTTGATTGTCCGGTACTTTTCAGGAATCAGCTCTTCCACATGAGGCCCAAACTGTTGCATGACCAGCACCCCACCAGGTCCAACTTTGATCTCATAGAAAGTCAGGTTGGAATAAGTATAGTACCCAACATAAGGGCCTGGACTGGGAGGAGGAATCAAGTTTTTCTCTGCCTCTCTGAATGCTGTCTCCATGGCAGGAATAAGATACTCATATGTCTGAGTCACGATATCTCCACCCTGTGGTCTGGGCCCTGCCATCAGCACAATGAAGCTCAGGCGGAGCTTGGGGATAAGAGAGAAGGTAGCTGAATAACCATCAAGGTCTCCATCCTTCCTAATGACATCATATCCCAATTGCTCGTTGATTTCCCAGGGTGTGCCAGTCTTGTTAGCAAAGTATTCAGTGGAGCACTTAAACAGAGGGGTCAGCATTGTCTTCACTGTGTCAGGCTCTAGGAGACGACGGTGGTAGGTGCCTAAGAAGACCATTGCCAGCTTGGCAAGGTCAGCAGCTGTGGAGTACATCTGGCCAGAAGGCCTGTACCAGCCAAGGTCATAGAGAGGGGCTGGCTGCTGGCTGCCATAGAAACCCACAGCCATCTGGGAGCGGATTGGTGGCGTGATGTCAAAGCCAGTGTCCTCCATGCCCAAGCGGTCCAGGATGTTCTCTGAGATCCAGCGCTGGTATTGCCCCTCAGCTGCATGGTCAGCTAGCACGTGCGCCATCAGTGAGAAGGCCAAATTGCTGTAGTGGCATCTGAAAAGGATGAACAATATATTTGGATCAGCCTTACTTCAGTGATGCAGTGTGGGTATGACTATGAAAAAACAGTGGCTAGGTCTCCCTTCTCTGGAGAAATATTCTCATTTTATCAGATGGCATGCTAAAGAGAGATGAGAGATGAAGGAGAGACAGAGAAAGACTGAATATTGTTATGTGAAGAAAGAAAAATTTCTTATGGGAACACCAGCGGAACTATTTAATCACTATGTACAGAAAGAGGGCTGGAGATGGAAAAATAAAATAAAATTTTAAAAGTATGCAATAATTTACATATATTTATGTAAATATATTTATAAATATAATTTTATATATATATAAATATATTAAAATATATTTATAAATATATGTTAAAAATACTGTATATTTATGTAAATATATGTAAATTACATATATATTTACATATCTTGACTTACTGTTTATAATTGTTGACCAAAGAATATATCCATTCTTTTTAAAAGTGGAGTTGAGAGTTACAGGTGCTTACCTTAAAGCTCTCAAAATCCCGAGTAAGCCTCTTTGGAGATTTAACATAGTACAGTCACTAAAGCACCTAAGCTACTTTAAGATAGTAAAAGCACTTAAAAGGCACTTAAAAGTCTACAAAGCACCATCCAGCAATGTTGAGTCATTAAACACACCTGAGTGCTTCAGTCTTTATTATACATTAAGTGATATAAGTCTTTATATTTGAAGTTTAATGACATGAATGGGCAACTTTTTTTCAGACACATTTTCAAAATTCCTTATGTTTTCAACCTTGTGGGGTGGTGGGTATTTTTTTAATTTTGCGAAGCCATACACCTTACTTAGGCCTATTTAGATCATAAATTTGGTACCACTACAATAATTCCCAGACCATCTAGCTGAAAAAAAGCATGATGAACATACATATTTCTCCCCCAGGAATAAATGCATTCAGGATCTAAATTTTTTTATCTGAAATGCAGTGGAATATCAACATACCCATAAAAATATGTTAACATTTCTATATCAATGAATGGGAATTTCTTTATGAACAATGATCTGTTAGCTGTGAAGTATATCCAGGAACAGGGAGACAGAGTTAAACCTATCAACATGTCAAGTAATATGGAGTTGAGAGACTATGAGTGGATGTCCTTATGTATCTTAATAGTGAGCATAATATAAATACCAAAGAAGACAACGGTATTAAAGTCTTAAAATCCTTTAAGGAACCCCTATTGTAACCTCCTACATGACATCAGACAGAACTAATACAAGGTTGCCAAGACTGAGTTTTCTAAGAGTTTTCTAAATTTGCCGACTTCAAGTCATGGGGAATCATCAGCAACCTTGGCAAATTATTTCAGAATGTAATTCCGTTCCCTAAAAATTTTGCAGACTTAGAAGATTTCCCAGTTAGTCTGAATCCTTCCCCTCACCTGCTGTCCGCTGGATCCTGTTCATATTTTTGAGTGCTTACAACTACTCAAGTAGCAGACTTTTAACAGGCTATATAAATTGTAGCAAACATTAATAGAACTCATAGATAATTTAGAGACATGCAAATCACTACAGAAATAGTATGATTTTAATCAAAATCTATGATGATTTAAACCAATTAACATGCCTTTCCACTTTTGAAAGTCTGCATTTTTCACAATTTAAGGCTTATTGGACCTAGCTATAGCAGTTTAATTTGCCTCATCTAGACTTCTCACTCAGGCTCTATAAACATTCCAAAAAAACCCTGGCACCTCCAACAGTCACTCTTT